ATTTATTCTGCCATTATTAACCTAATTAATTCAGTTTGTGATTTCACCACGTCATCTTATAATTAAAATGAATGTACAAAGAAGCAGAAACAGATGAATATAGGTGATTTATAGGTATATATAAGTAAAAGAGTAGATGCAAGAATGAATGAATGACAAAATAACCATAAATGAATGGATGAAAAGAGAGACAATTGAGAGAATTACTAAACACAAATTTAAATGAATGAAAATAAACAAGAGAATAAAAAGATGACTATTAAAAACCTGTTGAGGTTATAAATACATCCATTTTTATCTTTCTGTGAGAAGCAAGGCTGGATTTAGGCATAGTAAGCTAAACAAGTTACAGCTTAGGGCATCACAGTCTTAGGGGCCTCTTAAAATTTCATACTTTAAAAAAAAATTACCATTGTATTTATTTTTAAGTAATAATTTATCACATTATTTTTTGCATAACAGATTCACCATTATTATATATGCAATATATTTTATATGTTACATAATTTACATTGTAAAAATTAGCAAAATCTTCCTTCGTTTAGTTGTTACACAGCCTTATTGTCTGTTAACACTTACCAAATAAGGTGTCTACCGCTGCTCATTGCTTAAGGCCTCACCATGTCTAAATCCTGCTCTTCAAGAATGTATGATTGTAACATCAGTAAAAAACTCATTTTATTCACAAAATGATGCTTTAAATGAACATTTTAACTAATGTGAAACAAGGAAGAGAAACTCTGTTGTGAAATGCAAATTTAGGATACTACTCTTGAACATGGGTTTTATTGAATTTTTATTAGAAATAAAGAATGATATCTCATCCAGCAGCCAGCAGACACACATAATATGAAAGCAAGATATATTCACATTTTAGAGAACTTTGCAGAAATAAAACTATGCTTTCTTTTTTTCACTCTTCTATTGGTTATTTGTTTTTGTTTTTGTTTTCTTTGTGTCTTCTTTGTACACTAAGCAATATAAATCAAATGAGATCTGCAGTGTCATTTGTTTTGATGAGTCTTAATATTTTGGGTTTTGAAGAAATTAAACACATATTCCTGGGTATAAAAAGTTGTGGTTTTGTCTGTTCAAGTTTGCATATATGTTAATCTCATGGATTAATCTCAACAAATACATCGAACAAAGAATATAAAAGAAACAAACTCAGAGGTTAACAAAACAACAGTCACTTCAATGATTAAAACAGTACTACCACCTCCATGAGAACACAAATCAAACAGGTGTCAAGATAATTTACTTACACTTGCAGAGGAAGCTGGGATAAATGGAGGCAACTGTTCCCCTACCTCCTAATCAATGTTTTTAAAATCCAGTGTACAGTATATATATATATATATATATATATATATATATATATATATATATATATATATATATATATATATATATATATATATATATATATATATATATATATATATAAGCCTGGTCCCTTGTCTCATCAATGAAATCAATGTATGCTGAAAGAATATTTGCTGCTAATTTTTTTAAAGACCTAATTATTGGTGGCTTTGTTAATAATAAACTTTTTTAATTCTATAATTTCAAGATTATTGTCCCAACAAACATTTGTGTCTACCAGATTGGCTTGATGTTGATTCAATGGTTTTGTTCAACACTCAATACAGCCTGAACATCATTAATATGCTGTAATTAATGAATATACAGTGTTTTAAGCACTGTAGCATTTGTGTGAATAGTGGTGTGGTATTTATATACTGTTTATTTGCTTGTGTATGCATGTGTGTATGTGTGTCTGAACATATTATTAGCTTGTTATCATATGTACTTGATGGAGGGCCTCAAGGTAGATTAGTTTCTCATTTGTAATTACAGGTAATTGATCCACCCTCTGAAAATAAAGTCTTTTAATTTATTATTATTATTATTATTATTATTATTATTATTATTATTATTATTATTATTATTATTATTATTATTATTATTATTATTATTTCATTAGTAATTATGCTTCAAGCAATACCTTTACCATTTTATAGTCATGATATTCATTAGGATTAAGCATGATGGGATAAAATAAGATACACTTTAAAAAGGTTTAAATTTTTCTACCATAGTTTTGCTTGAATGAAGAACTGATTTGAATAAATATTAAATCCAATTTTAATTTTTGTTTTATTGTATCAATTCCTGTTCTTTTATTTTCAGTAGTAACAGTGTTTAAATACCTGCTGCTTTTTTCTCATTTTTCTCTATCCTTTACTCACAACATATCAATTTAAAATGGAAATTACAGCTACCCAATACTGTATAGATATAAGTAGAAATTACAGCTACCCAATACTGTATAGATAAGTGGAAATTACAGCTACCCAATACTGTATAGATATAAGTGGAAATTACAGCTACCCAATACTGTATAGATATAAGTGGAAATTACAGCTACCCAATACTGTATGGATAAGTGGAAATTACAGCTACCCAATACTGTATAGATATAAGTGGAAATTACAGCTACCCAATACTGTATAGATATAAGTGGAAATTACAGCTACCCAATACTGTATAGATAAGTGGAAATTACAGCTACCCAATACTGTATAGATATAAGTGGAAATTACAGCTACCCAATACTGTATAGATAAGTGGAAATTACAGCTACCCAATACTGTATAGATATAAGTGGAAATTACAGCTACCCAATACTGTATAGATATAAGTGGAAATTACAGCTACCCAATACTGTATAGATAAGTGGAAATTACAGCTACCCAATACTGTATAGATATAAGTGGAAATTACAGCTACCCAATACTGTATAGTACATGTGCACTGAAGCAATATAAAATGCTTTATAATTCTTTTCAAAAGGGTGAAAATAAAACAGACAGTCATGTAAAACCAGATCACAGAAATATCGTTGATTTATCAAATAACTTTGATGATCACAAGGACTGAAACACAGTAAAAAAGAAAACATGGGGGAGCTGCATCTTCAGCCTATCTGGCTAATCTTAAGTTGGGTCTTTAAATTCATGATTTGGGGAAAAACAAAATCCACAAATATTGGTAACCCCTAAACAAAATTTGTAATACTACAGAATTATACTAATTTTTAAATTGTACATATGAATTTCCAAAAATATTTTTAAAGACAATTGTATGCTTGTATTAAAATGCACATTTATATGTAAAAATCTGCAAACAAAACAAATATAAAATCATATATGCATACATTTTACTCACACATAAATAATGGAAAGAGTACACAAACATAGAAACTGAAAGTTATGGACTATTATGGAATATCTACTGATATCATATAAACATTTCTCTTCTAATAATATCTATCAAGATCAGATCCCTTGCATGCAATTCAATACATGTTTACAATGAAACTCCCATTGATCACAAATACTCATTATCAGTATTTTCCAAGAAATAATCAACTGAAGTTTATGCTTGTCATATAAATAATATTACATTATCAAAATCATCATATAAATATTATTATATTATCAAAATATCAAATGATAGATCATTACTGACCAGATAGTGGAGATGTTGAAGAACAGCATTTACTTTGCAAATATTCCATCAGAAAGACTTTATTGTGACTCATATACAAATGTAACACACTCTTTTATTGGTAAAAATGTCAAACATAAAATTTTATCAAATTGGTGAAATAAAATAAAATTTACAACAGTAAAATCTACAATATAAATTTAAAACTGTAGGTGCCTTTTTAATATGATTGATATATATTGCTAAACAAAATTACTCTTTTTATCATTTTTGCCAAAAATGTCTACATTCCTTAGAATGGGGTACAATCTTGTATTTGAGGTTTAGGGATAATGGGATATTTAGAATTTTAATTTTAACAGTGGCAAATAATATTTAAAAAGTCCACTGCCTGTAAAATCCAATTTGTGAGAGAAAATCAGCAATTACTATCCTCAAATTCTCAAAATACACTACATTTTCCCCATAATTTGAAGGAAACTTTTAAGTGTGTACTAACAATTGAATTTGATGGTTGAATGACAATGTACATATATACTCACTTATAAGTCAAGTTCAATGGCAAAAACTGCATATATCCAGATCTGCCATTATATATTGTGCCAGCAAATGTGGGTAAAAGTAGTTTAAGAGCAATCAGTAAAACAAACATTACAGATACTGATCTGCCAGCACATCAGGGTCTGTGTTGTTTGTAGCTAACTCAACTTATATGTGAGTATATATGGTAATTTACTATGAAGAAACATTTAGAGATGTGTACTGCAAGTCAAGTGAATGGTTTAAGCAAGATGACTTGCACAATTTTGAGATGAAACTTGCATTTCAAGCTAATTAAAAACTTTATGATGACTTAAAATTTGCTTGAAAATATATTATTTTATGACATTTGCATGTATTTTCACCAATCACATTCACAGACAATATAGTTTGAACCTGACCAATCCTGCAGCCAAATAAAAATGATTGTTATCAACAATTGATTGGTGTGTACATGCTACTGTATTATTACAGCCATATAAAGATTACATACCTATCATAAAGATAAAAAATACAAAAAGGAAGTCTTTTTTTCCACACTCTAATCATTATACTAACTGGAAACTTAAGTTTTATATTTATATACATTTTAAGTATATATTAATACAAATCATTTTGATTTACTACATGGTCACTTCCACATTCAATAAAGGGAACACTTACCTGTATCCATTTTGATTTTTTATATGACCACTTCTACATCAAGTGTATGTGCATGTGTGTGTATGTGATTTTGGATTTTAATGTAGCTTTAAATTTTTTCAATCATATTTCTATGATGTCTGCAGTGCAGCAGTTTATAGTGATGTCTAGCACTGGGGCATCATGTCACAGACATGTAGCATGATGTCCCACCCAGTCACATTATCCTGATACCAGGCTGACCAGTCCTAACACTAACCTCTTAATGCTGAGCACTAAGCAAGGCAGGTGTTAATACCATTTTTTGTACATCTTTGATGGGTTTGAACCTGTGACCTTCTGCATCCAAGTCAGATGCTCTAACCACTAGGCCACTGGTGCAGTCTCCACATCAAATAAAGGAAATACTTACCTGTATCAATTTTAATTTACTGCATGACCACTTCTACATTAAGGAAAGGGAATACTTACCTGTATCCATTTTAATTTACTATATGACCAGTCCTACTTCAAGTAAAGGGAATACTTACCTGTACCCATTTTAATTTATTGCATGACCACTTCTACATTAAGAGAATACTTACCTGTATCCATTTTGATTTACTGCATGACCACATCTACATCAAGTAATGGGTCTGTTTGCAGGTGCTGTATCCACTGTTACAATAAGAAACAGCAAACGCACACACTGGATTGCCACATTCAAGAAAAATGTTTATTATGTATAAACTGAAATTAATGCAATTTTTGTTTGCTGACCTTATTAGCAGTCAACTATTGCAAAGAAATTTGAAGAAACAAAACTTGAAGACCTGTTTAATGTCCTGTTCTTTGAAAAAAATAACATGATACCATGAACTTTGAAATGGATGTGAAATAAGTTAATACTGCAAAATGGCTGCAATATCTATACATGAATAAAAGTGCAATATGTCCAAGGGGAGCATACAATATTGGTACAGTAAAACCTGCCTTGAGAGACCACTGCTATGAGAGACCACCTGTCTTGAGAGACCAGGTTCTTCATGTACAGATTTATTGATTATATAGTATTATGATCTGTTATGAAAGACCACCTGTCATGGTAGACCATTATGTTTTGGCAAAAATGGTGGTCTTTTAAGACAGGTTTGACTGTAGTTGTTTAGAACTGATTTGCCATTATATATACCAGTTGTCTTTTAAACAGATTTAAACTATATACATGGCTTTTCCAAACTTTTAGTTAGTTTCATTTCTCCTTTTTTATTGATGTGCATATATTAACCTATTAGATAAATTTAATACAAACTACATGTATTAGCTATTTACATTTTAACAGAGGTATGTGACGAGGCCTGCCAAACTTTTATACCGTATTAAGAATATTATCTAGAATTCTCTTTTATAAATGTAGAAAAACTTTCTGATTTAAAGTTAAATAGAGAAGTTTTACACTTGTGCCAATAATAAATGAGAATATATATCTTCCTTATGAACTATGAGACTTAATAATTATTACATCTTTTAGTTATGTGGCAAATATAATTATTAAATCTTTTAGTTATATGGCAAAATATATCTATATAATAGTCAGTTGATGTGTAAATTTTGAAGACCAATATAAGTTTAGCTGGCTCATGAATTATCTCACCATACGTAATTAAACCAAACCTTCAAGTACTATTCATTTGCCAACGTAATTTGCATATTAGTATGGTTTACAAATCCAAATTATGAGCAAATAATTCTTATAAAAATTGCATATATTAAACAGTTACATACCATTGCAAATTGATCCTATACCAAATGACGAAAGTAATTGGAATTGACATATGTGTACAATTCATATAGGCATATAAAGGGCATATATGGATTTCCATTTGTATAACTTAAACCATATATGTAATAATAACATTCAAAATTCATTTTGATCCAATCACTTGAAAATAAAAAATTCAGCACTGACTCTTGTATTAAACTGGCTCATTTTCTCATGTTGTGTGTGGTTATAAAAAGCTGACTGTTCACATACAACCCCTGTGCCAGGTATATATCACCTAGCAGAATTCTTATAATTCCCAAAATAGAGAAACAATTTTCTAAGACAACCCCTGTGCCAGGTATGCATCCCTATTCCCACAAATAGATTAAATTACAAAATTACAAAGCAACTTTTATATAAGTCAGGACTCAGATTCTAGCTCCATTTTAAGTGCACTCATCCTGAAAGACTTTAGAATTGGATAGAGATTTGCTCCATTTTCTTATTTTACTCTAAATCTGCCAACAATTTATACTATTAATATTGAGTTTATGTTGACAAAATCAAACTCCAATGATGAACTAAAATAAGAATTGAAATCATTTCACTGTATCAATGGTCTATATACATTTTGCTAAATCATAAATGAGAGTGAAGTAGAAATTTAATGGTGTGAATCATTTCTACATCTTACTTTTGATTTGATTTGTTTCCTTTCTGTCTACATTTTGTTCCGAGAAAATGGGATGGGAATAGTGTGAAGGATAAAGGAAGAATATTATACATCCTAACACACATATTGTGAAACAATATTTACAAAATAAAAATACATTCTACTCTGCATACACAAACTTATTAATGAAAAAACTAACAAAAAGAAATATTGGCCATAAAACACTGTGTCAGTATAAAATACTTATCACACTGTAAAGATGTACAAGAACAATTTTATGACAAACTATTCAGGAAATGAAAAATCAAAAATACATAGCACTGATTATGCAGACAAAAATGACCTGGATGTCCTCAACAAACATGGAATAGGTAGAATGTTTCCCTTAAACACAAGTCAATATTATTCTATTACAAACATGGAATAGGTAGAATGTTTCCCTTAAATACATGTCAATATTATTATATGACAAAAATGGAATAGGTAGAATGTTTCCAATAAATACATGTCAATATTATTCTATTACAAATATGGAATAGGTAGAATGTTTCCCTTAAATAAATGTCAATATTATTCTAAAAATAAACATGGAATAGGTAGAATGTTTTCCTTAAACACATGTCAATATTATTCTATTCCTTAAATCACTACAAATTATAGAGAGAACCTGCCATCTAATTTATGTCTCCCATCATAACTGAATAATGAAGAATACATTGTAGTTACAAACAAGTTGCATTATGTATATCAGACTATGATAAATACATGCTGTTTGAATTACAGGTCTAGTAAAAAACAAACAATACATAAATATACAGTGTGTGAAGGGTATGGGTTTGTGTGCATACATGCCTATATGTATGCAAAACATCTACCAACACATCAACACAATTCTGGCTATATATTGCCAAGTAAGTGGAGGTATAAAAAAGGCATACAAAAAGAAAAAGGCAAATCCCTAAAAGACAAAGTAAAATCTTTATATACACTATTCTCTTTTAAAAGTCCAAGACCTTCATAGCTGGAACACCATCAAAAGTCACATCCTAGGTCAAAAGGATTGTAGCCATACTTTGCACATATGGCCTACTGTACATCCCAGACATGACAGGAGAAAACTGCAATATGAAAATACAGTCATGATGACAATTTCCAATCAAGGCATTACATTTCTGTGTTTAGCAAGGCTCTGCTAAATAGAGGTCAAAGGATTATATTTTTTGTTTTTTAAGGATCTGCTAAATATAAGTAATAGGATTATATTCTTGTTTTGCAAGACTGCCAATCAGAGAAAGAAGGAACAAAATATAATCCCAAAGGCAGCCATAGACTCAGTGTCAACTCTTGCATTATAAATTTTCTACAGTATTTGCGCTTCATAGACAAATGAAAAATACCAGTGTTATATCTGTATTTCATTATACCAATGACTTGCTGCATAGTTGGATTTGAAATAGTGATGTTGTCATGATTAATAAGCCATTAAACCATTAATCACACCACAACTACAGAATGGAAGCAAAAAAAAGTATCACTAATCCAAGAAAACTTTTACATTATTGAGAAATCTGAGAGCCAGTCATATTGAGATCAACATCTACATTAGCATATTGATACATCAAGTGGACATAACTCATTGCTGTTTGTCCAAGGTTAAAAATAATGGGGTATTGGTAAAAAAAGTAAAATGAATATATATATATATATATATATATATATATATATATATATATATATATATATATATATATATATATATATATATAAATATAAAGAAATAATGGGCAAGCAATGTAAAAGAGGTGTATTATTGAGTAGTGTCACATGCTTTCTTCTTATGGCTCAAGCATCTGTCCTTGTTTGACATTTTATTTGTTAGTGTTTAACAGTTTAATGGCAGAAGAACACATGACAGGTTTAATGGCAGAAGAACATATGACAGGTTTAATGGCAGAAGAACACATGGCAGGTTTAATAGCAAATCCAAACATGACAGTTTAATGGCAGATGAAAATATGACAGGTTTCATAGCAGATGAACACAACAGGTTTAATGGCAAAAGAATGACAGATTTAATGCCAGATGAACACATGACAGGTTTAATGGTAGAAGAATACCACAGGTTTAATGAGAGACAAACACATGACAGGTTTAATGGTAGAAGAATACTACAGGTTTAATGGGAGACAAACACATGACAGGTTTAATGGTAGAAGAATACCAATGGTTTAATGGGAGACAAAAAAATGACAGGTTTAATGGTAGAAGAACACTTGACAGGTATCATCAAGCTGAGGCAAAATGAATTAAAAGCCTTGTACTGGGACACCACAGCAATTGATTTGACAGGTCTGAGAAAGATTCAAACTGACACCATTCTAATAGTGAGCCAGGCACACTAACTACTGAGTCAAAACAGCTCTTATCTGTTCACTGGCTACTAATTAACTCTTGGCATCATTATGGTTATAAATAGTACTGTCTGGTGTTGGTGACAACACTTCCTTTGGTGTCACTTCTTCCATCCATGTCTTCACCCTCCTGTGTCCACATTTGCTTCACTGAGGTCTCACTTAAATTTGGTCATAAGAAGCAAGTTAAAATTATATCCATACCAACAATTTGAATTTTGGTAGAATCATTAATTTTCTATCTTTAATCTCAATTACAACATTACAGTCACTTTTATCAGATTCAGATTTTCTGCTGTTATAAACATTTTGCATGGCATGGCATGGTATGGTGTCATGTAGTGTAGTGTAGCATAGTGTGGTGTGGTGCAGTGTAGTGCTGTACAGTACAGTATTTATAGGTTACTGCATTTGTAAGGGAAAATATGAACAAGGTTTTTTTATGGATATACTGCATGACCTTGACAGTGCAGTATATCCATCCGACAAAACGAGTTTATATTTTCCCATACAAATACAGTAACCTTTTTATTATATGCTCATTTCTTTTTCT